CTGAGCTGTGCCCCTCCCATCAGCCTTCCTGATGTAGAGGGCATGTTAGGAGTGGGAGGGGGTGTGGCCGGATCATGCTGTTCTCCAGTGTTCCCTGGACAGAATGGCCCCTTGCAGGCCCTTACATGCCAACCTAAGTTAGAGTAGTTGAGTGGCTGCTCTAACTCAAGCTGGTGGCCAAAGAGGACTCAGCAGCTCTGGGAAGCACAAAGTTAGCATGCTACCACCTTTTCCCCCTTACCCACTTTGCAGCTGCACCGAGCAGAACTCCATCTCAGTGGAGGATCTAGCTCACTGTGGACAAGAAAATTGCATAGAGTAACAAAAGAATTGTGGTAAGAGGCCTTGATATTGCATTGTGAGGTTTACATCATCAAACTGCTGCATCAGCCTAGATGACAGATCACCATGACATGCTGCACCAACGCAAATAGCACCATGCAGTGCCGGTGCATTGCTCTGTGGCTTTGTGGCTGTCTGAGACACTGTTCATTGATGAAATAAACTCTTCTGTCCCACAACTAGGAGAATTACTGTATTGCAGGGATTCTACATAAAAAATAAACACAATGGGCTAAATTCAACCCTGGCCCAATAACATCACTGGCCCAATTTCTTTAGAAAAATATCAAATAAACATTTTACTTGAAGACAATCACCTATTTACTTTACATCTCATCCAGCGAATTATTAGCTATAGATCTTAAGAAATTGCATTGCACTTTCGTAGAACAGTATTTAGCATTTCTAAAATAATAGTTCCATCTCCCTAAAATAATAACAAAACTTCAGTCCTTGACCTTCCCCCTCCCACCCCAAATAAAGAGGTGATTTAACTGGGGAATGTGTGGGTGACAGATTTAAACTCCTGATCTGAAAAATGTTAACAAGTGAATGGAATGTATATTGGCATTTGAGTGCCTTTAAGGGCAGTCCACGCATTTACTTAATAAGATATGAAGGCGCATCTGCTTTTAGCACTAAAGAGACATTTTAAAAATACATTTATTCTTTGCTGTACTCACAAATGTATTTAATGGAGCAAATGTGAATGCTTTACACTGCTACCTGAGTCAAAGGAAGCTGACATCCAGAAGCACAATATAGTTGACTCTGAACCAGACCCATAGGCATGTCCACAGCCACCAGCAGCGGAGCCAGACAAGGAGCTGGGGAAGAAGCCAGCCAGGAAGAGAAGCTGTCAGGTAGATGCCACTGCTGGAAAAAATTTCATTCTGGAGCTAGGCATATGAATGCTTCCAGTGCCAAGTGAGTAATGGAATAATATGCATGTGTATGTCAGTGGGCTTGGGAAGCGCTTCCTTCAATTCTTAAAAGTAAAAGCTAGATCCATAAAAGCTTATCACAGCACATACGCATCTCTGGACATTCTACAAGCCATAACGACTAAAGGACAAATGCGGAGTGACTGGAGGTTCCGCATCCACAATGCGGAAGTTAATTTGTGCAGGACCCCAAATTGGGGCACTTAACATGGACATAATACACAACCTATGATAGGGCATCATATGGGCTGGCCACATTCTGTTCCAGAATACCCTATAGTAGAAGAAATACAAACTTCAGTCCATCATCTGGCAGAGTTTTCACAAGAAAAAACACAAAGGAGGATAGTAAAAGGGGAGGAACAGACTATGTGCCAGTGGAGATTGCAAAGCATTCCATTTACAGCCATCGACATTCTCCTTGGCCAAATTTTGGTCCCAGTGAAGTCAATGGCAAATCTACCAGACTCCAGATGGACCAGGATCTGGGACTCTACACTTCTGGGAGATGTTGAAAATGAGTTGGTACAGGTAGGCCTGGCATTTCAACAATCCCAGTAGGAGAGCCATTTCACTGTATCCCAGTAACTCCCATCCTGAAAAGGGATGCACATGGAGGAAACCTCTGCAAGGTTCCCCTTTCCCAGAGTTATCTCCATTGGTGGGGTGGGTCTGCCCCTCTGTAGAAGAAGCAGTGGCTCTAGTCCCCAAACCATTCGGGGTTCTGTGACTTCATGCTGACTCTGAGCGCTTGTCTACACCGGAAACACTACAGCTGCCGCAGCCGGCTATAGCGCTTCAATGTAGACACTGCCTATGCCAATGGGAGGGGTTCTCCCATTCACCTCCCTCAGAGAACTCTTCCATCGACGTAGCGCTATCTACAGCAGGGATTAGGTTAACTACATCGCTCTGGAGTGTGGATTTTTCACACCCCTGAGCAACATAACTGGGTTGACCTAACTTTTTAGTGTCGACCAGGCCAGAGGCTCCAAAAGGAATAGCAGCTCAGCCCCATGCTCCACTGCAGCCGGTGCTGCCTGGGGTTCTTCAGCCATTGGGACGTGAAGGGGTATCCCACTGAGGGGAGGGCACAGAAAGTATAACAGAGCCTGAATTCAGTAACCTTTACAATGGCATTTGCTCTGAGTGCCAGGGGAGACAATGTGCATCCCTGCCAAGACCTGCCTTCAGCCAACCCACCTCTCCATGTACGAAGCCCCAGAGGATGCTGCAGAAACCCAGGGAGAGGTGAGATCCACACATGAATCTGCGAAAAATTATTCTTCTCCAACTCCCTGAGATGTGCTAAGCACCCAAGTCTCAGTGGGACTTGTGCTCAGCACCTCTTAGGATAATGGCAGAAATCTGAAGTAGTGCCAGAGACTCCAGACTCGCTCTACTTTTACATTGGTGTAAATGAGATCAGAATCAGGTCTGCCATGATCATTTGGACAGTTTCCAATTTCCCAAGTCTAAAGGGTATGTAAAAGGGTGTCAGGCCCTAGTGATGTAGTGTACAATACTCTGTTGCTGTGGTTGGTTTGTGGGAATTATGAAAGGAAAAAAATGTGTTTTGATCATGGACAAATATTGTGGTCTCAGTTTTCAAAAGGAGGCTGTTTTTTCAGGGGAGGAGGACTCACTTTCTGGTGTCTAACTGGAGACACCTTGACAAGGCTTGATTTCCCAAAAGCAATGAACCCCCACCAACTGAGGCCTTTGCATGTTTTCCGTGAGCTTAGCAGTAAGAGCACATGAAAGCGTTGTCATTACAGCCCGTAGTGGTGGGGCCTTTAGTGCAAAATATACCTTGTTCTCCTCATAAAACGTACACTTGCCAAGCAAAACTGGGGTTTATAGGACAAGGTTCTTTTCATCACAAGGTTACGTACTAGTAAGTTACTACAATAGTGTGTTGCTCTTGTAGGCTCCTGCATAGATCACATGTATCTTTTGTTATCAGAGATGCAAAAAATAGAATGTTACTGGGACTTGAATATGTGAAAATTATAACAAATACTTTTCCACCCTCCTCCCCTCTTCACAAAAAAAATTGAGGAACAGTTTGAACCTAAACCAGAATTTCTTTATTCTGCTTTAATATCAAATGATTGCTTGCTTTTAGGCTGATAAATTTTGGATCATTACAGTATTTAAGAGGGTGGAGGGGAAACAGAGTTAATTGTTACCACTTGTACTTGATTCATCTCTTCTCCATCTGGCTTGTCAAATATCTTTTCCTTTGGAAATGCATGCTGTTGAAATCCCGCAACTAAAACTTCAGAACTAAAACTACTGGGACACAGGAAGCTAACAGAGACTGAAGATAGATATGCTCAATCTGGGTATGTCTACACTACAGAGGGGACCATGCCTCCCAGACATACACTACCTCGCCAAAAGCATCAGTGGCACAGGCTAGCTGCCTGAGTACAAGCTGCCCCTCTGGGTCCGAGTTGAGGTAACCAGCCCATGCCACCACCCACACCGCAACATCCAAGCTGCTATTTTTACCATGCTAGCTCGAGTGGAGGCATGCCCAGGCTGGAAGGCATGCTCCCAACAGCATTGTAGATGTACCCTCTGTGTCTTCTGCAACTTACTTCTGTTTGTAAGCACTGAGGGGAAAATACCCACTTTTCGTAAGTCACCTTTTCCTAGTAGTTAGCAGCATTGACTTAGACAAGGGAAACTGTAATTGTTCAATGAATTTTTTTTCCTTAGTTAACTGAATACTGATTTTTCTTTATGATTGAGCAGATTGCAAAAGACACATTATTATACTGGCCCATCATAAATGGATTAGAGGTGGCTGTGGGTTTTGTTGGTGGTGGTATGTTTTGTTTTGTTGGGGGGTTTTGGGGGCAAGGAGGTCATTTCTCTGTAACCTATACATTTATCATTTCTGTATACCAACATATTTTTTTGGCAGGAGGGCCTTTAGTAAATATTGGGCCTGATTCACTACTCTATTATACTACTGTGACTCCATTGACTTCAACACTGGTGTAACAGAGCAGTGATTCATGTCTATTAATTAATTATTATCATCATCATTAAATGTTAACGGAAAAACACAAGTAAGACTCGTGAGAAAATTACGCAGCACCAGATCAGGATGAACAAGTACAGTTTCTAGTGTATATATATATATATATATATAAAAAAAGAAAACTACAAGAATCGGAAAGTAAAGTCCACTAGTAACTGATTATAAACAAAAGTGAAACTGAGCAGTAGAAATGATTGAAAAACAACAAACAATTTTGTGCTAAATGTCAAAATCTGAAAGTTGTTTCATTTTGTAGGAGTCAAAGTGGCCCCACATTTTTTTTTCCATGAACTTTTCCATGACCTTTTGATCCATATTTTATTGAGGACTTCGGCAAAATCGTCACTGAAATGTTTAATTATCTGAAACTCATTTCTTCTTACTAGAAGCCAAGATTTTGTGAAATGAAAAATTTCTAAAATGATTTCAATAAAAATTTCAAGAAAGATGTCGCAGATTTTGATCATTTCAATAATTTTTTGAAAAATGTTTTGTTCTCAAAAAAGGCCATTTTTTTACACCAAAAAATCTTTTTGTGAGAAAAGGTTTGACCAGTTTTACAGATATTTTATTTTTATTGTCCAAACTGAAAAAATACAAGCAGCATAAATGATAAAAAAGCAAATAATGGTGGTAATTATCTTTCTATTTTAATATCTGGAAGGATGACTTAGCAGACAAGGATTTTATATTTAAACAAAATATTACTTTTAAACTGATTATATCTCTTTACATTTCCCGATGACAGTATTATTTGGCCTTCTCTCATACAGAGCCTAAAGTATTACTATTCGGTTCTGTTCAGATTCTTCTGCCACGCCTATCACTCTGGTATTTGAGTGCCTTTCACTTGTGCTGCAGAACAGCTACTACTAATTCATTAGGAGGAAAAAACAGGCTTACAGGGCACAGGTAGGAAAGACTATGCCTTTCATTCCTTCTCTGTGGAATAGGAACACAAACAGACAGGATGCTACTTGCAGTAAGGTGACTCCCTGAACAATATCCAAACAGAGAATTCCTAAGTCAATCCAATAAACACCCAAGCACCAACAGCTCAAGCAGCCACAAGTCTATTTTCCCGGACTCCCCTGCCTTTTACCTTTGTCCAGGGAAAGCAGACTTCTGCCTATTTAAGGTGCAGCCCTTATGGCAAACCGACATTCTTTCTGCAGGGGAAGAGGCTGACAGCTTCCAAGTTAAAGGGGTGTGGCCGTGCAGGAGTCGGGCTGCAATTTGATAATGGTTTACTATTTAAAGTTAGACAGCAGCAGCATTATCGGGAAGGTCAAAGAAAAACAGAACCTATCGTCTGCCATACGTTTAAAGTCTAACAGACTGGAAAGGAAAATGAGAGTTATTTGGAGCGAAGGTAAGAATGGGGAGGGGGCTAGGAAAAGGAACAAGGAATGGGTATGGTCCCTCTAATGCTATCTCTTCTTTCCAAAAGAACAACTACTCAGCGTCATCAAAGAGCAAACGGGCAAGAGCTCTATGGACATCTAATTAACGATAAAGTGTTAATTTCTTATTTCTTATTTAATTTCTAATTTCCCACTTCTCTTCTCAGCTCTGCAAGCACAAGGTCTGGATCCAAAGCCCACTGAAGGCAATGGAAAGACCTCCAGTCAGTGGGATGTGGAGTAAGCCCTACACCAGGAGTAACATCAGTGAAGTTAACAAAAAAACACTGGTGTAAAACTGGTGTGAGAGAAGAATCAGAATTATTTTCACAAGAAGCATAACCTGTGTTTACACCTCACACAGTAGCAGAGAAAAAAAGCTTAAATAAGCATACATTTAGCTTTGGGCCAATACCCATTGGAGTCAATGGAAAGACTCCAGTCCATTCCAATGTATTTGGGATCACGTCCTTCCAGGAAAAATGGAAAGTTTGTGGGTGGACATTTTACTTCCAGTGTCAAAATACTTTGTATTTTTTCTTACTCACTTAAAAAAAATCCCTACTAAACCCTAATTTTACACAAAGACCAGAACTGAAACTGATCTCTTGCTTGAGCTGTAGGGCTTGGCAAACAGGAGATGGCTTCTGCTGTCCCTCAGGAGCATCGTAGGGCTGCCAGTCATACTGGCCTGACCTCAATGTCTGTCACCATTTTCAAGGTGATGATTATCTGGCTACAAAAAAAACTGCTTCAGGCTCCAACTTGGCAAGGAAGATGCCAGTCTGGGAGTGATTTTGTGTTTTTTAAAACTTGGGGGTGGAAATCTGTCACTTTTCGATTACCAGTGAATGGAAACAAATTGCAGTTGGTGGGTTCAGACAACAATTTGGAGCTTATAATTCAACTTTGAAATAAATTGTAAAAGAAATTTCTCAAACAAATAAGATCTGGCAAACAAAAGTAGTTTGTACTTAAATACTAAGGTCACAGAGAAATACAAATAATATAGAAAGACAGACAGACTTCAACATATGCACTCCCATTAATTCAAAATATAAACTATAGAGTCTAATATTGGACTATATCGTACCATCAGATTTGTAAGCAGAACTCATTATTGATATAATCTGGCCCACGACTTCTAAAATAATTCACAAAGTGATCAAACCCTGACGTGCAGATTCTTTTCCAGCTCTCTTCCAACTGACTTTAACGGGATGACTCGCATGAGTAAGGATTTTCCGGGACTGGGCCCATAGTCCCTAATGCCATCTGATCACTTTTGCTATTTAAAAAGACAAAAATGATTATTACTGTTGCAATGACTAAGTTTTCCCAGTATGGGTTTTCTTTTTCCTTTAAAATTTTGTAATCATTTTAAATTAATGGACTTTTAAACAGAAGTGACACCCAAATGGCCTTAACAAAAACTCCTCTAGCTAGATCTACACGCAACAGACAGATACATTCTCCTTCAGGTCTATCAGGTCAATGATCCATCAACTAAGAAATCTCATGTAAGCCTTGACCCGATAGAGCATCAAAGCTCCTTCAAAGCAGTCACCCGATTATGCAGCAAACAATACCCTGTGTCAACAGTCCATAATTATGTATTTACCCAATGGCTGTTAGGGACAATCAAGTTAATAATTCACTTTTTAAATACAGTGTAATTATATAGTTACAGAGAAGTTCCAAATAATTGTGCTCGTTCTCATACACCTAAATGATTAATTGTTTCCTATTTTTCTTTCTGGTAGTTCCCTTTTTCATTTAGTCTTTTCTTCCCTTCTAACAGCAACAGTACTGAACCTGAATACCAGGCAGAGAATACTAAAGCATAAAAATGCATATTAAAATGATGCTAACAGTTAATTGCTGCAAGTTTTATTCAAGAGACAGTATGGTCTAATGGATAGGGTGTAGACTAGCATGCAGGAGATGAGTTCTAGACTCTGCCATTCACCTACTGTGTGACATTAGGCCAGGCTCTTTACCTTTGTTTTGTTCATTTAGCATGCAAGCTCTTCAGAGGAAGGACTATCTATACAGCCTTCAGCACAGAGGGGTCATGATCACTAGGTGCTACTATAATACAAATAATTATAGTAAAACAAAACTTTAATTGACATAAATAGGAGGACTACAAGATTTGATCATAAAGTTATGTGGGCAAATTTTTGGCCATGAGTAAAAAGGGACAACCACAAAAATGTCAATGCTCCCGTTTCACACACATGGGAAAACTGCATGCTGCAAGTGCAAATGGATGGGATGTCTTGGAGTGTGTACACAAAGGCCCATTTGCACTCACCAATGTAGATGCACAGTGGCAGCACCCAGAAAATTTGGTCCTATGGGTTTGAGTTATCTCATGAAAGCAAGAAATACATCCATGTTGTCATGCCCATCCTTCACTAACTGTTTTTGTTCGGAGGTGCAAAGCCATATATGATGATGACACCTAAGTAAATGCAATGTTTTCTGACCTCAGCAACATCTCAGCACAACACAGAGGGAAAGGCAGATCTAGATTTCTAGCCTTTCATTCCATATTCCCTTTTTTCTAAAAGTTTAAGTCCCAACCTTTACATTATTTTGTTTAGAAACGGCTAATACTGTTATTTTAGTTTTAATTATTATTTATATTAATTATATTAATAGCCCATGTACTATATATGTGTAACAAAATATCTTCTCACAAATAAAGGATCAGAAACATAGTCACATGATTTTGTATTAATCAGCATAACTACTAGTGCTTTACAACCCAATTAAACTCTATGGGAAATTGCTGAAGGACGCTAATGCAATACACTGGGCACTCCTGGAGAAATCGAACGGAGATGACATTTTAAAACCACTCAATCTCTGCTCACTGGGAGAGACACTGGATGGAATATTCACACCACTGGTCACTGTTAGAGCAACTTGGAGTAAGTGCATTGGAGTAAATCTATGTAGAAGTAGTGCCCACCCCTTATTGCCTTTATTTATTTATTTTTGTAGAGAATGCACTGAAACACTTTACATGTCATTTTCTATTTCTCTGATGTCATCCCAGATTTTGTTAAATAAATATAAAATTCTTTCACCTATGAATAGGCTTTTTGTATTACACTTTTAAAGCAGAGAGTTGCATGGCACACTGTGTTTTGTTCGTAAACATAACAGAACAAATTTATCCCTAGTGTATTAAGTTAATGGAGTTACACCTGAGATGAATTTAGCCCAGTACACTCACTCAGGAGGCAGCTGGAATATTGCTGCTTGTCCATACTTGATCACAAGGCAGGGCTTGCATGACTGTCTGGGCTAGGACCCTATTGCCCTTCTGCACCTGCTAGTCCTAGGAAACCAGTACTGAGGAGAGTGCCCATTGCATCCATAGCATAGTGGTTGCCACTCCTGGAGGCAGTGTTCTGAATGTCTGAGCATTCCACAACCAAGGCTACGTCTACACAACAAATGAAGGTATGACTGTAGTGCAGGTAGGTATAGCCACACTAGCTCTGATCGAGTTAATGCGGGTAACACTAGTAGTGAAGCTGTGGCAGTGTGGACTTCTGCATGAGCTAGCTCCCCAGCTCAAGCCTGCCAGGGACCCTGGGTACATATTCAGGATGCTAGCCCATGCCACCATGTCTTCACTACAATCGTTACCCATACTCGCTAGGTTAAAGCTAATGTGGGTATGCCCGTGCTACAATTACATCTTCCCTTGGCTGTAATGCCACTGATTCCTGCCCCACAGTGCTCCATTGCGGCTGCAAAAGCCACATTCTCGCCAAGGCTGGGGATGGGTATTGTGAGCTGCACTGACAAAGGTGACATTCTGTGGGGAGAAGTACTGGTACATATAGAGGCCCTGGTGCTGCTCAAACAAGCTGTGGAACTCAATTTACCCAGTTAAAAGTTCTCAGTGCCAAAGTTTTAAGGTAAAATGCTCACCTTAGAATAACATTGATCTAATTTTTTCAGACTAGATTGGGCTTGCTTTTGTAGATCATAATTCTAATTGAGGGTCAACTTCAGGATTTGGGTGAATAAAGCTTGGGACCCTCCCCATCTTCTCAAACTCTTCTTCCCCCACATTCCCAAACAGATCCTCTAAATCTCTCCTTCCCTCTTGTAATGACCCTCCTCCGCTTCAGTTTCCCCTTCCTCTCCAATCAGTGCACTAAGACAGCAGCAGACTCCACCAGCCCAGGTTTACTCTGGCACCATCTGACAAACTGAGCCATGTTGGCCAGGGGTTCTGCAGGTCCCCAGAATCAGTATCTCTGTCCACAGATCATCTATTGGAAAGGCAGAGCCTTATTATGTCCCTGAACAAGTTCAGTGTCACTAAAGGAGCTGCAATTACAGCAAGAGCTGCACCTGACCCTTACAGAAGCCAGTTTTGTACTTGCACAACAGAGTATTAGGAGAGTTGTTAATTTTTTCTTTGTAAATAGGACAAAAGATATCATAAAGTTCTATGGTCTTGTTTGTATTATTCTGCCTCCTCTTTGTAATCTAAGACTCCTTGAAGTTGAAAATGATATAATGCTCAGGATACGTGGGGTTTAGGGAATGTGAGAATGAAGGAATTTCTATAGCTTTACTGCATTTTCAGGGCACACTGAGAATTTACCATATATCCAGTCAAGGAACACAAAAGGGGCATTTGAAAATTCAGTGCTTCAGGAGTTTAAAGTCACAGAAAGGAAGATAAAGAGAAGAATTTCTTATTTATAGATTTGCAGATGAAATCCAATGAAAACATACCAAAAAATGCTTCTTTATGTCAGTATGGCTGATTCAATTTCCAGGCTTGCAAGGTCTCCTCTATCTAAGTACTACCCGACCCCAATAACATACTGTGTTCCAAGGTTAAGATCTGTTTCCTTACAACAGTGCAGAAAGCTGTTGTTTCAGTTGCGGCTGCAGAATTCAAGCTTTGAAGGACAAGTTAGTACCAAACTACATTTAACTGGATTCAGTTCATCTGATTATATAGTGCCTTGCTTTCTGGAATATGTAATCATCTCTTTCTGATGACATTTTAAATATCCAACTAGATAAATAATTGCAGCAATAATTGATAGCTGAGTTAAACTGGAAGATTATTGATTGGCACAGTACCCACTGAAACAAATGTTCATCTTTCAAACATTACAGTAAGGATGCTTAAATCTAACTTTTGCAGCTAAATGGTAAAAATCTGATTTACTGATAAAGCCATTGGAAGACAATATGCACTTTGGGATTTGATTACTTTGTGAAATTTTTTAGAAGAAAAATTAGGCATCGTGATTTATTATATATTTCATTTCAATAATTACAAGGATATGGATAAGTAGTTGAATATAAACACATGCAGAGAAGTTCCAAAGAGTTGTTCATTAACTCTCTTCCTTCCTGAATGGTATTTATCTGCTCTTTATTACTACTTACATATGAGTCTATCCTGCCATCTTTCTGTGCGTGCCGTATGTCTGTTTCTTTACCAGTGTTGGGAGTTACATAATCAAGTCAGCAGCAAGTTCCCCGCATCACCTTCTGTACAGATGTTCCAGTGTGCATGACAGAGCCAGTTTAAATATTTATCCTCTTAGCAGACTATGAATAAAGTTGAAAGGAGAAGCTCAGATTCTGCGGGCCTAAACTGGTGTAAATCAGGAGCAATTCCACTGAAGTCAGTGGAGTTACACCACCGTAAAAACAGAATAAATGAGATCAGAACCCAGCAGATCTATAGATACCAAATTTTTGAGGGTTAAAAGTACATCTCACATCTTGCAAAACAGGTGCTTGAGTCTACATTTTTTTTTTTAAATAACAGAATGACATCAACTCGGCAACCCTTCCTTGTTCGCTATGGGGTGGAAGGATGAAGCGAATCTGTGCAATGTACTGGTTGAAAAGAATCATGACTAAAAACATGGATGCTCATGTGTGAGAAATGACAAGCAAATGAGCTGCCTGACTAAGAGAAGTGGAGCCATTGTGAGGTAAAACCTGAAATTAGGAAAAAGCACCAGAATATTTGAGCAGGGAACAAAGAATATATATTCAGAGTAAGAGATGAAAAATGCACTGAAATGTTTTGAAACTGAGCCATTATAAGCTGATTTAGTCTCATAGCTACTGTTAAAAATCAGAAGCTTGTTAGATGTAATGATTATCTGCGCCTTGACACTTAAGGCATATGAGGGGGCTTGTCAAGCGGCTTTGCTCTAATTTAGAGATCCTCAGTTAATTAGAAAGCCCTCAGATTTTCTGCAAATGCGGGTCACTATCGACAGCTCATGCTTTTGATGCTTTTCCATGTGACAGTTGTTGGACTGACCTTCCACGAGCTGGCAGGGTTGTCCAGACTTTTACAGTGTCAGGGAATTCAATCACTCCTGCCAGCTTAAGCAAGAAGTTACAAGTAAGGTTACTGTACTCGTATACTGTGTTTCCTCACATTAAACAAAAGCTGATGAAATCGGCATTCGCTTACCACTATAAATAGCTCTAATTTCCATTTTTTTTTTCTTAGTGGGTGTCACATTCAGCCCAAACTTCAGGGTACTCGTTTATTTAAAAATCTCGCCGAGCCGCACTCATGAGAAAGGGAAGTGTTTTACGGAGACTGATTTGCTTGCACTGAAACTGCAGCAATTGTGGAACAGAAACCCCTCTTTGATTTTTGCTTCCTGATTTCTACATCAGGTATCAGAGGCTGCACCTGCACCGAGATTGAGTCCATGTTTTTATTGCAGACCACATTTGCAGAGGGGGAAGGTCATAAATCAGACACACAAAAGGCTCAGTGTACTAACTGCTTAGCCCAGTAGCGAATTGTTGTTGTGTTTCTCTAAGTGAAGAAACAATTGGAGAGTTCAGTGTTAAATTATACAGGCAGGTAAACTAAACTTGAAGGCCCAGTTCTGGTCCCACTGAAGGCAATGGGAGCTTTGTATTTGTTTATTTGCTCTGTATGTGTGTGCATGCATGCTTGCTGCTTGGATTTTTAAATAATGAAATGTGTCATGTGACTCGTCTAGGGAATGATCTAATTGTTACTGGAAACTTATTAAAATAGAAAAGGTGTGTAACTCGGAAAATAATCTATTGCTCATACACAGTGATCACTATTTTAAGGCCTGCTCCTGCTCCCCTTGGACCCGATTCACTGTGTTGTGTGCTTTTGTATTCATGCAAAGTGAATGCCAAGCAGAGTGGTGGCATATCACATCCACTTTGCACTTGCATGAATGACTACACAATGTGCAGAGTAATAGTGAATTGGGTTCACTTTGTTCAGCAGGTGTGACACCAGGCCCTAAAATAGCTCTTACTATTACAGCACCAGGTAAAGAATCAGTGTTTATGAAGCTGTCTAAACAGAGACTTTCAAGACAAAGCAAATACATATTTGTAGAAACTGTATTTACATAAACAAGAATAAAAGCTCCAAAGCTGTGCCTTACTCCTGACCACGGAGTGAGTCTGAGGAGCTGCTCCATGCCCAGTTAGATAACCACACCTTGTCCAGGAAAGGGGTTGCTGGGACACAAACCAACACAAGGTTCTCCCACACCACCTGCTAGCCGTCAATCCACAGTCGAACTGGGGCCTGGCAAGACAGAGTTCCTTGTTCATGCAGGAACTTGCATTTTTTACAACTCTTTCAATGTGCATCTTTATCTACAGTTATTGTTGTTTTGACTTTCAGACACAACTTGGGAGAAAGAAATTGAAATGCAAAACTGGAGGGAACCTTTCTTAACAACAACAACAAATTTAAAACCTCTTTATGGAAATACAAGAAATAAAGCTGAAAGTTGTGGTGAAACTCCCATGGCTCCGTGACATGCGACAGTCACACAGTGAATCAGTGGCAGACACTAGAAGATTAACCTTCGGGAACAGTACAGCATTGGCAGAGAAATGGATGAGATGATCTAATAGATATTTTCCACCACTAATATGATTCGGCAATGATTTCACATAGATCTCTACATTATCTCAGCCTTTAGAAATAAATGTGTTGTCTGATCTTTCCCCTTCTAACTCAAACGTAACACATACATTAATAAATTGCAAGCTGGGCCCACTGCTGCTGTTCTTGTAGTCAAAACTTTTGCAGTGATATATAGATAGATAGATTTAACTAAAAGAAAAGGAGTACTTGTGGCACCTTAGAGACTAACCAATTTATTTGAGCATGAGCTCATGCTCAAATAAATTGGTTAGTCTCTAAGGTGCCACAAGTACTCCTTTTCTTTTTGCGAATACAGACTAACACGGCTGTTACTCTGAAACCATAGATTTAACTGTTTTTAGTGGCAATAATTTTTACAACCCAATCCAAATATTCTGTTACTAGCAGATTTGGCAAGCATTAAAAACACCTTGCAGAAGATCCAAACGTATTAACTTAGTAGCCAGATGAAGCAGAGAGGTGTAAACCACACTCACAGGGAAGCTCCCTACACCTCAGAGGGATTTTCTCCAAGGGACAGTAAGCTGAGATCTCTCCCTTGAGATTGTTGTTGGGGGAAAACAGCTTTAAAATACACGGGAGGCACCAGAGAACCTCACTGGAAGAGACTATTGAAGAGATGTGCTTAATCAGCACACCCTCTGGCTACACTGGTCATGCCCCCTCTCGTCAGTGATGCTCACTTTTAGGTCCTACTTGTCTCCAGTGCCCTCTCCCCACACCTCAGCAGATGGTAGCTGGCAGGTACTTTGCCAAAGAGCATTTTCCATCAGAGTCTATGGTGACTGAAGTCAGGATATACCAGTGACCGAATCTGGCCCTGGTACTTCCTGTAGCATGGAAGTGTATATTTTCCTATTGAACAAAAGACTTTTTCCATGTGGATATTGGGGTAGGAGAGATAATCAATGGAGTTACACCAGGGATGAATATGGCCCATTAGCTTGGAAAACTCATCTGTGGTGAAAAACAAAGTTCTGGCTGTCATGAGGGTGGGAGAATAGATATATACCATTCCTAAAAGCTCAGGCTCTGGGCACATGGCACATGCGCATAACCCTCAGAGGAATACAATACGGACCATCGTTCAAAGAAGAAATAGCAAATTGGTGTTAGGCATGGGTTAAGATTTTACAGATGGGGAAGAATAAGATTAAAATAAGGACTTTTTAAGCATCTAATATAGATTGTAGAGGGCCCCATCTTTTACCAGGATAAGCATTTTGTTATAGGAAAAATACAATCTACTATAATTCTTTAATGGGGTCAACAAGCATGTGGACAAGGGAGATGCAGTGGATATAGCGTACTTAGATTTTCAGAAAGCCTTTGACAAGGTCCCTCACCAAAGGCTCTTAAGCAACCTAAGCTGTCATGGGATAAGAGGGAAGGTCCTCTCATAGATTGGTAACTGGTTAAAAGATAGGAAACAAAGGGTAGAAATAAATGGTCTGTTTTCAGAATGGAGAGAGGTAAACAGTGGTGTCCCCCAGGGGTTTGAACTGGGGCCAGTCCCATTCAACATATTTGTAAATGATCTGGAAAAGGGGGTAAACAGTGAGGCAGCAAAATTTGCAGATGATGCAAAACTACTCAAAAAGAAAAGGAGTACTTGTGGCACCTTAGAGACTAACAAATTTATTTGAGCATAATCTCTCGTGAGCTACAGCTCACTTGTAGCTCACGAGAGCTTATGCTCAAATAAATTTGTTAGTCTCTAAGGTGCCACAAGTACTCCTTTTCTTTTTGTGAATACAGACTAACATGGCTGCTACTCTGAAAACTACTCAAGATAGTTAAGTTCCAAGCAGACTGCAAAGAGCTACAAAAGGATCTCATAAAACTGGGTGACTGGGCAACAAAATGGTAAATGAAATTCAGCATTGAAAAATGCAAAGTAATGCACATTGGTTACAATCCCAACTATACAGATAAAATGATGGGGTTTAAATTAGCTGTTACCACTCAAGAAAGAGATCTTGGAGTCATTGTGGATAGCTCTCTGAAAACATCCACTCAATGTACAGCGGCAATCAAAAAAGCAAACAGAATGTTGGGAATCATTAAGAAAGGGATTAGATAATAAGACAGAAAATATCATATTGCCTCTACATAAATCCATGGTACACTCACATCTTGAATACTGCATGCAGATGTGGTTGTCCCATCCCAAAAAAAAGATATATTGGAATTGGAAAAGGTTCAGAAAAGGGCAACAAAAATTATTAGGGGTATGGAACGGCTTCCATATAAGGAGAGTTTAATAAGACTGGACTTTCCAGATTTGAAAAGAGACAACTAAGGGGGGGATATAATAGAGGTCTATAAATGATGACAGTGTGGAGAAAGTAAATAAGGAAGTGTTATTTACTCCTTCTCAAAACACAAGAACTAGGGGTCACCAAATGAAATTAATAGGTAGCGGGTTTAAAACAAACAAAAGGAAGTATTTTTTCGCACAACGCATAGTCAACCTGTGGAACTCCTTGCCAGAGGATGTTGTGAAGGCCAAGATTATAACAGGGTTAAAAAAAAGAACTAGATAATTTCATGGAGGATAGGTCCATCAAAGGCTATTGACAAGGATGGGCAGACATGGTGTCCCTAGCCTCTGTTTGCCAGAAGCTGGGAATGGGTGACAGGGGATGGATCGCTTGATGATTACCTGTACTGTTCAAGTGCATGCGCAGCTCCATTTATTCCAACAGGACAATTTGAAGATGAAGACACTCGTCAGTGAGAGTAAGGGGATCAGAATCCACACCGCACATCTTGTATTGGGCCACTTGAGTGCTGCTGGCACTCAGTAAAGAATAGTTCTTGTGCACCCAGGAGAGATTTCTCCTCCTGGTTCCCTGCCACCCGCACTACCTTTTTACCTTAAAAATATACTGACAAAGAACATGAAGGCCTCATTCCCCCCTCCAGTTATGCTAGCAAAGAGAGCCCACATCTACAGAACTCAGTTGGAGGATGAAGAGAGAGTGCCACCTCCTTCCACTGGTTCACAGAAGCCTCTCCTTGGCTTCTTCCAAGGGTTCCAAGCACTGTTCCCTCTAAGCTGTGTGTGTGTGTGATTGCACACAGATCCTAAACCCCGCGCACACGGCGAAATATCACACACACAAATTTGCACAGAAGAAATTTTTTGCACACACAGCCTGTCAAACATTAGAGGGAACCTCTTAAGGAGCTGCACTGCACAGGGAGCACAGAGCATTGGGGTGTCCAGTGAAAGTACAGAGGCAAAGGTCCACAGGTATCTCTGGAATCTGCAGCTTGGGCAGGGCTGAACCTCTGCTATATGCCTGGATCGGGAGAATCCCAGAAAGGGAAGTTTACAAGGGAGGATTAGCCCTAATTACAAACAGCCATGGTAAGAAAAGTTAAGAGAGAAAACCCTGTAATTGTATCTCTCATAACACCAGGTCACCTCTATCTGATATATCTTTATCTGTCTCCAGGCCCACAGACAGCAATTGCGGGCCACAGGTCCAGGGCCATCCCTAGGGGGATACGGGGCTCATGGCGGAAGTGACGAATCCATCACTTCCAGGACTGACCGTGCTGGCCAATCGTGCCTAGGAGCCCTGTGGCCCACCTAGGTGATTAAGGGCCCGGGGCTCCCAGCCACTGCTGCTGCAGTACATGGCCCTTTTTAACCACCCGGGCCCCTAGGCAATTGCCCGCCCGCCCCCCCACCCCAACCGCTGGCGGGCCTGGCTGTCTCTGTCATACTACCGGCGGTGTATATTCTGCACCAAAAGAAGACAAAGTGTATCAGTGTTCCCTGCAGCAGTAGGTTTATGCTTTTTTGCCTCCTTTTGACATTTCATTCATTCTCTACCCCTTCATGTCTCACAGCATATCCAACCCAGGTTGATGCCTCCCAGGCTCCTCCCACACAACCACACACAAGCATCCCCACGCAGGACATACACACACAATCCAAACACCTGGTACACCCCCTACACACAGCTCATTCACAGTGCTCCCCAAACTGCACATTTTCCATTCACAACCCTCCTCAGACACTCACACACCACTCACACCTGGAAGCCCCCTCACACACACTGTTTATTCACAACCCCTCCCCCCCCCCCCACACACACTTCCTGCAGATACCTGGATGGATTGTAACCTGCCATCCCATAGGCCCTAGGCAGGGGAAGCCAGGGCTGTCCTAGGTTCAGAGAAGTCTTTACTCCCCTCCCCATATCACTGCCCATTGCTGGATCCTCTGTGAGCCAATAGTGAGAGACAGCCTGCTTTCCATCCAAAAGCACAGACTGCATGATGACACTGCAAGGCCCCATCCAAAAACCAGGCTTGGAACAAATGTCTTACCTGTATTCTGTACCCCCACCTCCTACCCCATCCTGGGAACTGCCCTGGTAAACAGGGGTAGTCCACTGACTTCGGAGGAACTTCACCCACTTAGTGCAGGGCTGAAGCTGACAGTCTTGTTTGGCATTTAAGATGTAAAAGGTCACCAATGTAATATGTAGAAAAAGAGTATAAGGCTAATACTCTGTGCAGTGACTTTCTGGCTGCCTATATGGAAACTGGGGAGCTGTCTTCCCTCACAGACAATACTTTCCCGGGGTAACACTGCTGTCTGGGAATATCCTTGTGATACACTAGACAATCAGATTAGAGACAAATGAGAAATCCCTGGCCCCCAGTGAAGTCAATAACTTCACCAGGGCCAGCATTTCATCTAAAGTGAATTCTTCAGGTTACTAATTATTAATAATTATTATTATTAATTTGCATGGCAGTAGCACTTAGAAGCCCCAGTCAAGGATCAGGGCCCCATTGAGCTAGACACTGCATGTGCAGATAAGAAAATGACAGTTCCTATACCTGAAAGCTTACTATCATTGTTATTCCTATAAACCTTATAATATGGACTGCCACGATAAACAGGCAACCCCTTCAACATACCATTTCTCCACTCCCCAAGTTTAAGAGTAGTGAACATTTCTAAAATAAAAGAAGTACTAGTGGCACCTTAGAGACTAACCAATTTATTTGAGCATAAGCTTTCGTGAGCTACAGCTCACTTCATCGGAGCTGTAGCTCACGAAAGCTTATGCTCAAATAAATTGGATAGTCTCTAAGGTGCCACAAGTCCTCCTTT